TGTGTGTGTGTACAAGACCATGCACCGCTAAGCCGATCTAATTGGCTGCTTCGTTAGCGTCAGCTTACGATGAACGATGACGGATTATGACGCCATATCCAAATTTTTATATTTACCTCGAGATATTTTACGATAACGGATATCAAAGTGATGAAATTTCTCCGATTGAGAAGTCTTGAGCAAAGTAGTAGGATATCTTTTAGAACGGGATCTCATACATGAGACTCTCTTCTAGCTCTGAAATTCTTGGAATACTTTATAGAGTAGATACAGTTTGACACTTGAGCTCTGCTCTAAAAAGTTTCAAGAAAACGATGCTTTTTTAAAAAAAAATGGGACAAAATTTAATGTCGCTCTTGGCAAAGTTTACAAGTTAGTATAATTAATATCTCGCTCATAAAACTTTTTCAATTCTCTGAGAGACCAAGGATATATTTTTTGCACTTCTTTTTAACATCTTTAAAATTGTTTGCATGTCTCATCTATATATTTATTAAGTTCACATCGTGTGACTGTCACGTTTGAACATCTTTGTTTGCGGGATAATCTAATGCAGGATCGATAAGGCAGTTTAATCCTCCGGAACAAGACAGTTCCGTTAATAAAGGTTTCTTGGGAGAGGCATAATTAACATCTGCCGGAGCTCCATGCAAATCAGTATCGATCACTGGGGAGGCTCAACTTCGCCGTCGCAGATAACGTCGTCGGAAGTTTAAATCTCCCCTGTCTCGACAGCATCCTTGACAGGATCAACTCCCGCGAGTCTCGTCTATATAATTTTCCCTGGTAAGGATTATTCCAGAAATCCAGCACTTTCCTGGGAGCATCAATTATTTTCGCAGTCCCAAAATTAATCTCGGGAGTAGTCGGTACAAATTCAGAACACTTATTCTCACGATCGTTTTTCAGCCGCGGTGTTATTTATTCATTCCTCCTTTTCCTCCTTTATTAAAATTGTTTCTCGCTCGTTTTTTCCTCTCACAGAACAAACTTGGAAAGCTTGTACTCGTGCGGTTGTATCATCATCTGCAGCTCCAGACGCAGCAGATCGGCGTAGAAGTAGAAAAAACCGACGATGTGGGCCAGCATCACGTCTCGCGGAAAAATCGCAGATCGTTTCTCGATCGAACGCACTGCTCGGGATCCATCAGGGTCAATCGATCGTCCTTCGATCCTTCGCATTCCGCTGACGCGGAACCAGATCGTCGCGATCGCAGATCGCGACTTCGTTTCCTCGATTGACGGCCGAGAGGCTTCGTTTCGTAAATCGCGGGGTCTACACCGCGCGCGGTCTCGCCGTGAACTGAAAGGCCCTCACGGTCTTCACGTTCACGTTGTCGTGACGTTAGGCGTCATACGCGTGTGCGTGTGCCGGCGTGTACACCACACGTGCGCGGCTCTCGATACCTGTATATACTTGGTGACGCCGAAAGAAAGCGTTCAATTATATAAATATAAGGATATAAATTAAGGATTTCTCTTATTCCTTTTTTTGGAACGGAACGTCACAAACATTCTTTCGAAGCTTCGCATAAATTCCGAAATAAAAGAAACAAATTACAACTTTTGAATATTGAATATTTATGATGATAATTTTATTTATAATGTTAAGAAATATTTTTATATTAAATGTATAAAAATTACAATTAGAACAGCAGTTAAAAAACAATTACTCCGGAATAAACGTCGGAGCGCAAATACTTTTGCAATTATGAGTCATAGATCGATTTGTTATTAAACATGTTGGTTAAAATTCTTCATTAATATTTTTTAACTTAAATCGTAAATCTCGAGGAACTGAAACGTATGGAAGAGGGTTCTTTTTCTCAACGGTCTTTTTGTCAAGGGGCCACCGTGTACAAACTGCAGACAGATTGTGTACTGATTGTGGGATCTTTTTGGTGTGTGTTAGAGAATACGAGCAGTCTCTTTCGCTCAGAGACTCTCAAGTATTGTCCATCCATGCACCCGCACGCACACGCATACATACGCATACGCGCCTATTAATGTATATCACGGCTGCGTGCACACCCCACACATTGTTGTACTGATGTGTGCTTCATGGTCAGGGCGGGACGCATTATTTCCCATGATGGTATGAGCGTGTCTTTTGTGCACGAAACCGCACGAAGAAGAACATGTATGCTCTGAGAGGCGCTCAACGACTTTCGGACAATAATAATCGGCATCAAGAGCCAATTTCAATTCATAACGATTAACTTCCCTCCATCCAATCTCGCTCTCCTCTCCAGAGATTAAAATATTTACGAATAAAAATAAAAGTAACTGGCGCGGAGGAGATAAGATAAAATAAAATTGCAAACTTTGTACATTTTGCTTCTCGCTCATTATTTAATTACAAAAAAGATTAATAAGTATCAGAAAAAAAATTGTAACATTTTATTTAACAAAATTTGATATCTTTTTACACAAACAGCATTTACATTTCGCAACATATATTTTTTTACATGTATCCTCTCACTCCGTGTCAAGTCTCAGCTCAAGCAGCTCAATTGTCCTCGGTATCATTTCGTTTCGTTGGAAGATCATTCACCGGCATTATCAATTTCATAGCGGAAGATAATCGCGCGCGAATGGCGCTCCATTTTATCGTCTTACATGCGGAGCTGGTATATATAAATAAAGCAAACGCGACCGGGAGTGACGGGGCCTGTCGGCGAGCGACGATAAACGCGCTTTAAAGAGACACGCACGCAAGTACACGCGCCGCACGCATACGCGGCCAGCACGTGCACGCTCGCGAGCGCGAGTTACGTGCGTATGCATGACTCAAGTGACACAGCGTGCGTGAGGTCAAGCCCGGAGAATGTTTCTTCTATTGCTCATTGTGTCTCGGCGAGCCTCGACGGGTCCTGGTCCCTATGGTGCATTCGAAGTGAGTGGCCGCCCTCGATGGGAATTTGCATCGCCATTGAAAGCGGCGAAGACGAAAGCCATGAGTTTAGGCTCGTTTCAACACGAGGACAGTTTGTATTTATTATATTTCTTACTTCTTCTCTCAACATTTTTGTGCTTTTAAAGTGCTTTAATACTGAACTCGTCTCTCTATTATCCGACGAAATACCGTAATTTTTATTCGGTAATTTTTAATTTTGTATTAATTTTATAGATTTAGAAATCTCTTTTCACGGTTAAAGTTTATGCATTAACATGTG